CATGGGGATCGCGGGCTGGCGTGTGGGAGACTGTGGACGATGCAAAAAGGGGCTTGGATGCGGACCCCCTCTCTTCTCGGCTTGTCGTTGGCGTATGCGTCGATCAAGTGTAGCAGCAGAGTTCATGCAGTTATCGAGTGTCTCGATGGGTAGCGAGCTCTTAGAAAGGTCGTCCTTCATGCTGTCAGACAGACCATCCCAAAAGCGTGACAGGAGGTCTTCTTTGCTGTACTCGGTTTGGCCTTGTATTTCTCTGAACTCAGAGATATACTCAGCGACCGTTCCCTTGCCTTGGGTCAGGTGCTTCATCCTGTCCTGGGCTTCCGCTTTGGCATTCAAGGTGACGAAGCGTTCTTGGAAAGCCGTTTTGAAGGTGTCCCAATTGTTGCCAAAGATGGGTTCCTTCTTGGCGTAGGCTTTATGATAAGGGGCTGCCCATGTAGCCGCTCGTCCCTTCATGAACGATAATGCCGTGCATCTGAAAAAATCCCCAGCTATATAGCACCCCTCTTGTGTTATCTGTACTATAGTAGGTCTATGCTTGCTATAGAGAATAAGACCACTGCTATGAAGTGTGGTATAGTGGCCATAGCTAGTATAGCTTTAGTTCACCAAGTGTATAGCATGGATAGCTGATAGGGCCACATGCCATAGAGTCTATAGTTTAAGTATGTATCTGGATAGATCTGTTAGTTGCTATAGGGAGCCTCCATATTAGTTCAGTGTGGCACAATGCAGCTGCTTATGAGTATAGCACTTCCCCCCTATGGGAATGAGCCTTATGCATAGAACAGAAACTGTCTATAGCCCAGTAATCTACAATACAAAAGCACTACCACAGTGTCTGATAAGCATGCTGATCTTGAAAATTATTTACTAGAAACCTCTCACAGCGGTCAAGGACATTCGTGGATGACCATGACCTGTCAGCTTTGTTCCCAAATATCGGGAACAGCTGGCAGTTCCTCCGAATCTTAGAGACCTCAATGATCTCCACCTTCGGCCGCCCTCGCTTCTGCGTAACTGTATACATCTGATGGTCGCGACCCTTGGACGACGGTGGCGTATACCACTCCACATATGCCAGGTGTCCCGGCGGCGACACCCCATGGTTAGTAAACATTACCGCCGTGAACTGCTCGGGGATCCTGAAGAAAGCACGGACACGCGCTATACGAAGGCCTTCAATGCCCGTGTCGTCGGCACCGGCAACATCAACAAGGACGGTGTCGAAGCGACCCGATCCGTCTCTCCCACCGGAGGGGTTGGCAACGGGAGACGACACCAAGCACGGTGCTCCGTCAACTTGGACATTAGGCACGACGAACGTAGCATGGTGCCATATCTCAACCCAATTGAAGGGTATGGGAAGATGGTCGTGGTTCCGGCGACGAGCAGATATTCGCTGATGCTCGGTCGAACAACGTGAGATGGCGATAAACATCCGAAGAGCATGGAGAAACTGCGGGGCATGGTAATCGGCTGCTAGGCGACCGAACGCAATGGACTTCACATGCGGAAACTTCGATAGCTTGGGACCAGGTGGGAGGACAGTCGTTCGTCGAGAGCAAATTCGTGGCGGCGGCGGAAGTTCGTTTGCGTACCACCGGATATGTACGTCGAGAAGCGCCACCTTCTCGTAACGTTCGAGCCACCGAGTCATCTGTTCGACGTAGTCGTGCTTCTTATTCGTAGCATCGTATGCGCGTTTTGCGTTATCGATATGAAGCCGTTCCAGGACCTCAGTGTTCGTGTTGTCTGTTGTACCGACGGCACGGATCCCCGGGACGTAATGAAACAGCATGTGTAACTTCGGGATATTGAAGTGAGGCACTGAAATAACGCACGATGTTAGAATATGTCGAGGCGAGTAACGAAGTACAAACAGGTTCGTGCACTTTCGTCGATGAATACTTGTTTGTTCGCGTGAAACTCTGCGAGTGCGTCGTCGAGGTATTGAAGGGTATCATCTGAATGGCTAATATACTGTGCAATGAAGATGAAGTCGAATAAAGAACGGGTTGCGCGCAGTGCGCGGGGGCTAATCGTTCCAACAGCGCAACCAAGAAGTTGTCGGACCATTTGCTTTCGTTCGGGACCGGAGACCTGTGTTAAACCGCTAATGCCGTTCGCGAAATGTCGAATGCCATGCGTTGCTGGCAAGCGTTTAAGGCGAGCATCGAGCTCCGCCGCGCCAATGAGGGATGTCAGCCAATCTATCAGGTGCATAAGCATGCCCTGGTAGAGTTGATGCAGCACATCGGCCGAGATCGCTGCGTGGATATTACAATGCGGCAGGTGGGCCCAAAAGGGATCCTCGACATGGGTCAATCCTGCAGCCTTGAGAGCTTCCTCTGTCCGGCGATATGACCCCAGCGTCTGCGCGTGTCGAAGGGTCCTCAGCGTGTCGGTTTGCTTCCGAAGAGACCAGGATGCGAGACGATGTTTGGTGAACTCAACAGCGGTTGCTGAGCACTTCGGACATTGCTGGCCAAACCGGGTGCAACAGACAAGAGTTTGCTCCGGATGGTCGGCGACATAAACTGCGACAATCGGGAATGCAAGGCGCACAGCACCATCCCCGCCGGTAAGCTCTATGCCGTTCTTGCCCGGGTCCTCGAGCGATTGGAGTACGACTCGCATGGCAGCATGAAATGAGCGTGCCCGCATCACGTGGGCAGCTTCACTGGGGAGGTGCGATACGTCGATGATTGGTAGATATGCGATCAGAACTTGCGCGCGGTACGAAGGTTTGCGGCGGATATCCTTTGAGATGTTGCCTATCGAAAGATAGACTGGATGAACTTGTTGATCGCCGCTGAAGGTCGATAATTGGGTCTTGTCTGAGCTTAGGATCACTGGAACAATAGTCGCGCCGTCCGGCAGCTTTGCCTAGCTCATTATGAGACCCAAATATGCGACAGAAACAAGGGCGAATCTTACCTGGGTCTCCCACCACCAGTCCCCTGTGTTCATCTCGCTGTACATGCGCTGCGTCTTCTCCTCGTCGCAGAAGTCCCGCACGGGTGCATAACTCATATGATCCATGAAGTCTGGGTTCGCGTAGAGAGCCTTGATACACTCTAATGGATCGCGGAAGCGTAGCTTCTGGGACACGGCACCGTATGTTTCGTGTACAATCGAGAACTCCGATTCCATCCATGGGGGGTTTCCAGGGAGTTCATCGATTAACTGGTTGAGACCCCAAGCATTGCGGTACGAGAGATCAAGCTGATCAACGAGCTATAAGTAGGTTAGTAATAAGCAATAGAATCGGATCACAAAACGTACATCGGGTATTTCCAGCAATCGGGTAAGGGCGTTTGCACTAATGCACTCTTCTTTGGCCCACCGAGCAATCTGAAAGTCCAAATCGTGCTTGAAAGGCCCATGAACCGACGTCTTTCCTGTTCGAGCCGATTTCAGGCGCTCACGAACACCCTCGTTATACCGCAGAACCTTCGCTGCTCCACGGTACTCAACAGTTGATGCAGGATCAGAATCGAGCGCCTTCTCCGCAGCGAACCGTTCCAATGGATCATGAAGCGGCTGCAAATGCGACTGCCGCTGCGGTGGCGTATGCGGCTGCTCTGGCGTATGCGGCTGCTCTGGCGTATGGGGATGGAACAGTGGTGCTTGACGTGGCACGAAATGAGTCTGCTGAATGCTGTCGCTGGGGCCCTCGTCGTCTTCTGAGCCCGTGTCGGGTCCGTAATTTTGTGGATCGTCCAAGTGAGCGTGAGGCGGGTCCTCCTCCTGATCGCTTGGGTCGGCATAATTCGGAAGAGGGGCAGGATCGGTTTTGTAATGCATGTCGGAGAGCCATCTACATGCGACAGACTGTCGTTGGTGACTAGTGAGATAACCGTTGGATGCGAATGTCTTGAGGCACCCAGCACACGCGAAGTCACCGGGCATTACTGAATTCGAGGCTGAGTGACTGAGCATGAGCATTTGGAAGCCCATCGGGAAACAAATGATGCACTTACAGATCGTACTCCGGTGATTGGTGTTGGTGTAAGCTCGAAGAAAGACAGATATGGATTGTAGTGTGGGTCGTCGGGCTGTCTGCGCTAGACCGAGTAAGGTTGGTGACCGTTAAGGTAGTTATTGAACGCAAATACCTTGAAGCGTGTTGCACGCGTGATATCGCCCGTAAACAACAGGAGTGATAGGCAAAACTCGAGTGCTGAGTGAGACAAAGTGTGAGCAATCGGAGTTGCGCCGGTGACGGAAACTCACTGTCGGCTAGTGGGCAGAGGTGAAGGGTCGCTCTTCGGCTGGAATTGCGCCCACTGAGCACCAAGCGCTTGCCACGTATCCCTCTTCTATCCTTGCTATAGACCTTCCCGTTTGCTATCGTGCACACTACATTCATGAGAGAGACGCAGAAACGTAGCCGAGCGACTCTGCAAAACTCTGTCAATGCGCAACCCAAGCGGTCACGGTCGCAAGGCCATAGACGTACCAGTAAGTCATAACTTTCTTTGTCACTGGGCGTCTTCTTATGGGTGGTTCAGCGTCAAGTAGCTCTGCTCCAGTGCCGGTGAAGAGCAAGACCAAGATCTCAGCCCGCCAGCACCGTGAAGACCGATCGGACGACGAAGAGAACCCATTCCGCAGCTCGAAGGTCAACGGGGATATCGACCTAACAGAGGATGACGGTGATCTTGAGGAGACTCAGCAAAAGGGCACATGTATGTTGTCATGCTTTCTGCAGCGATCGATGTTGTTCCGATGTCCGATATGTCTAGATTGGAAGTATACATCTATAGAGGACATTCATAGGCAGGATAACGAGGAGGAAGGGGACTCGGATAACGCGGATGAGAGGAAATATGAGGAGGAGGAAGTTGAAGAGGCGGAACCGGCTTCAAAGCGTCAACGCGCAAACACAAAGCTTCCCCGCGTACTCTTTCTCCTGCGTCAACCATGTCATATGCTCACATGCAAACTATTCTAACCTTTCAGATCATCAACAGCACTCCAAAGCCAGTCGCCAAGGATCTCCCACGTCGTAAGAACGGCAACGCAACTCATTCGCGGCGAAGCTCAACTCAGTCGTCCCGCTATTCGACTCCGCCACCTGAGCGTACACCACAGCAATCCGATAAGATATCAAAACAATACTCACCTTACAACCCTCTTCGTGCCATCGGATGTCTACAGGGGAAGCAATCTCCACCATCGAAGTCGATCTCGAAGATTGCCAGCGCGCATTTCAGGGTCACGCTCGCAACACAGCAGGCCTTTCCTAACGGCATTGACACGATCGCATTCGCAAAAGCCAGTTTCCTCGAAGCGTGCAAGGAACTCGGTGCAGAAGCGCGTCGCATGCGCTTTGAAGAGGTGGACTTATACTCGAAGACGATGATAACAATCGTACGCCATCACTCTTTCTTCCATGCGAATATGTATACACTTACCTCCATGATTACGCAGGTCAAACGTGGCACCTCGCAGCTTCGTGGCGAGCTGAAGTCGAAGGCGCAACTACTGGTCGAGACGAATTACGGCTTTCTCAACATACCCGCAGAGAATATCAAGGAGGGCATACAAGACTTGCTCACCCTCAGCGCCTTCCTCTTTGAGGATCCATTTGAAGTAAGCGGTCGTATATCATCCTTTCCGTTACTGACTTGTAATCAACAGTGGAAAGGTGCCTTCCGCAACCCAATCATCCTTACGCTCCTCGTACAACAATGGTTTCAAGATCGAAAAGCCGAAGCAGCCGGTATTTTCTCTGCTCAGTTCAATCCGATCCCCGACAAACTTATCGCTTTGATCGCCACCGCGGTGAGTCTGATCAACCAACGCGGTAACCGTACTCATTGTCTGTAGGTTGAGTGTGCGCTTGTCGACTGGGAGAGCGGAACGAACTCTCCGGATGTGAACGATTTGACTTCGGACAAGTATAGCCCGGTTTACGCTGTCCCGCCCCTAAAGTGATTAGGTGCGAGACGCGTAGAATGCATGCGGGAAACACGAATGTGGTCTATAGATAGCCACTCACAATTACTATAGAGTACAACTTGCGTGACTACAATCATAGTAGCCGATCCTTAGATATGCTAGTTTCTTTCCCAGTACTCAGAACTGACCCATATTAGTATTTAAATATTTTTTGGTAGTGTAATAGTTTTGTTTATGTACACATTTGACTGTCTACTACCCTATCATGATCACATAGCATGGATTAGACGGTCAGAGTAGTCTAAATAAGCCTCAGAAAAGGGGAAATATGTGGGCACTCAGACATGTTGCTATGGTATCACAGGGCTGTGTTGCAAGGCTGTGCTGATTAGTAAGCTTGCTGCGGATATTAGTAAGCATGCTGCGGCGCAGCAGCGCTTAAGTAAGCCTGTGATCTGATTGGATGGAGTGTATTGGCCAAATTAGCATAAGAGGAGGGGCATATGAGTCTTTCGAAGC